ACAAATGGATATAAATTTCATTAGATAAATTCAGATATTCCAGTTGGATCCGGAATTCCCTAATAGCTGCCCTCATCTAGGCAGCCCGTCCACGGTGAGATGAAGCCTTACTAGGAACCACTTTTGAGCCTGAGGTGATCTGTGATTCTAAAATGGGCTCTTCTCCAAATTCAGAGGAAGACCTGTCTTGTCTACCATATTGCATACACATGGAACTTTCAGACTGCTTAGGAATTTGCCTGTCCAGCACTGGATAGATCACGTGCCCATAGAAGCACTTCGGAGGAAAAAAAAAAACCTGTGCCATTGGGGAGTTAGGCCACCTGCTGTGGGTAATGAGGACTAACACGTACCTGAGGACTTACCGAGTGCCAGGCAGGATGCTGACTGCTTTACATGCAGTATTTCAATTAACAGTCACACATAATATACATATTCATTACTATAGTTGCCTCTATTTACAGGCGGGGAAACTGAGAATTAGCAAAGTTAAGGAAATTGTACAGTCACACACGAATACATCTTAGAGGTGGGATTCACCCTGAACTCAGTGCCCGTGTTTTAATATAATCCACTATGTTATAAAGCAGGGATGCACTTCCGACTGAGGTGGACCTTGGCTGGTAAGCTACAGTAAACACAAGAGTCACACCTGTGTCACTTGAATCACATTAATGGTAAGTGTGCCGCACAAAACATACCAATAACTTCATCGTCTCATCCACAAGCAATCTCAGAATCTACTCTTGAGAACTGAGATGTGACCAAGCAAAGAAAATACACTGAGTGGTAGCTGCGGGCAGTTGAACAGCCTAGGGTCTAGGGTTGAAGACGAGGGCAGCCTATTTTTCCTCTCAAAGGCAGTGGGCTTTCTAGATTTGGGGTACAGTTTCCTTGGAGAGTAGGGCCCCAAACACACATACACACAGAGCACAAAGAATTTTGGGCTTTTTTTTTTAACCATAAGCTTCAAATCAGGTTTTCGATGAGATGAGACAGTAGCGTTATCTTCAGTCCTCACTACAAGCTTTAGGCTCCTGTCTCCCTCCGCCACACTTGACAGCTCCATGTGGCTGCCTCGCCGAGCTTTTAATTCACTCTTTCAACCCCTGCCTCTCCAAACACATTCCCTCTGGAGTCACCCCATCGCAGGACATTGTACGACCCAGTTGCCAGCTAAACTCAGCAACCATTCACAATCCCTTCCTTGTCCTTAACCCCCCACATCCAAACTCTCAGGCAGTCCTAAACGTGATGGTATTTCCCAAACATGTCACACACCCTGGCTTTTCTCCATCACCATGATTTCCCTCTTGTACTTCCTCCTTCTGCTCTGCACACTTGCAGTGCATACCGTATACAACAGCCAGAATGATATTTCAAAACTTCACCAGTTATATTATGCCACCTCTCTGTGTTAAGTATCCCAGTTATTGCACTGCATCCTGTGCTGCGTTTTGTATTACAAATTGTCCTGAATATCAAGATGTCTATCTGTCTGAATCAAAGCTCTAGTTTGATTCAGATGGAGCACTTACATCCTTTTACTGAAATGTTTTCGCATATCACAATTTGTTACCAAAGAAAAGTGGGAGTTATGCTGTCTAATCCTGATTTATGATTACTGAAAACATCGAATGTGTCAAGTACTTTGATGATGTGTTGCTTGCATTACCTCATTAATTATTGCCCTGTATTAATCATGTTTTTTTATTTTCTGTATTTTTTGATGCTTGGATACCTTGCAATCTCTCCCAGTTGTGGACAGACTGCCCCTCCCAAGGCTAGCTAATTCCTAGAGGTAATGAACAACCAGCCTTCTGCACCCCATTCATATGCAAACCAACCAATGTTCCCAACCCCTTCTTTTCCCCAACTGTCTGTCACATGCCACACCAATATGTCCCCTGCCTCAACTCACCCCAGGGCCGGGAGCTGGACAACTATAGAGCATCCGGACACCCCCGGAGAAGCCACAGATCCGCTCCCAAGTTTGCTCAAGTTAGTCTACCCCGCCTCACCCATTCCTTAGTGCAAAAGCCACAGGGCAGACTCTGGGCCTTGTTTTCTCCTGCTCCTCTGTCTCCTGGCTCACCCTGGCACTTCCCCAGTGGCCCTGCGTGGTGCAAAGGGCCCCTTCCCTGGGGAATGCTATGTAATAAACTCTTTTCCAGAGACATTTGCCCCATGCCTGTCATCTTACCATGCCTTAACATGAACACTGGAAGACATTTCAAGACCCCCTCCCACCTGAGACAGGTGGGACAGACAGTCTAATGCATCACACACACGGCCGAGGGGGCCGACCGGGCAGTCTGCAGAGACGAGCCAACTTCAGAACCACACTCAGTCAGGACTTCAACTTGTCCTCATGTCATTTGTCTTCGTATACGTTGTCATATGTCCAAGAAGGATTTAACTTGGGGTCTCCCTATCAACAGGACTCAGCTAAGCATTTCGTAAAAACTGCCAACAGAAACTACGCTGTTCCTTATGATCCTCACCCCACTTTCTCTTTGCCATTTGAATTTGTTTGGCTTTCTAGTCTATAAGTGAGTGGACTGGTCCTTCACGATGCCTCACAGATGAACGAAATCTCCCCCACAGACCTGCAGACTGACATAGGTTAACATAAAGGTGGGACTTCTGCAGTTATGTCTACTTTACTAGCCCTTGGGTTCGGCCCATGTTTTCACTCACAGATGTAGAACTGGGACACACACTTACTTCAGAGAACAGGTACACCCTGGCTTTCTAGGATTCCAGATACGGGTAGGTGGGAGGAGCTAGCCCTGAGGGGAAAAAAGATACTGGGTTCATTCCTTCCTCCAGAGCAGGGTTTATCACAATTTATTAGGATTACCAAAATTTTTCCGGACTGTAAGACGCATCTAGCCTTTAGAGGAGGAAAATAGGGGAAAATTTTTTGAAGCAAAAAATGTGCTAAAATATTTAATAACATAAATAACATAGGCCACTGCCCCCCCCCCCGCAGTGAGCCAAGTAAGCTACATTCAGACTATAAGATGCCTCCCCATTTCTCTCCCAAATTTGGGGGGAAAGTGCGTTTCATAGTCTGAAAAGCACAGGATATCGGCCCTCCCGTTCTCTTCCTTCACTGCTCTGCTGTCGCTCCGTGGAGTCTCATGCTCTGTTCTTCTTTGGTTTAGTCCCCAACAACTCTTTCTGTGTCCGGCAAGCCTTTATGAGCCAGTTTAATATCCAGCAACTGCACCTATTTGCATCTTCTGAGACACACTAGACCAACAGGTGCACAAGTAGGGAATGTCATCAGAGCACTGCACAGGCAAGTGGCAGGAGCTGTGTGACTTGTCTGGAAGCCTGACCTGCCTCCACTGCTGCCACCCTCCGCCGTGTGCAAGATGCAAACTCCTCAGCTGAGGAAAATCGTAAGCGCAGCCTCATGCTCTCGGCTTTCCACAGGTCAAAGTGCTGCAAAAGCCTTTCAGGTCTGGTGATAAATTGACAAGCGCACCTCAGAGTGTAGGGGACCAGGTGCAATGTGTGCAGAGAAAACCCAGGGCCACTCAAATAGTAAGGAAAAACGGGTGTCGTCAAGACCCAATCGGCGGTCTGGCGGCTCCCAGAGCCAGGCTCCTCTGGACCCTGCAGCCCCGAAGCCCGAGCAGCAGTGCGCTACCCCACTTCCGCCTACGTCAGTCTCTGCTACCTGGAAAGGGGCTGATTGTCTTTTCACTACATGAAAACATATGACATGCAGGTGGCATGACTAGTGACAAGTATTCTTTCTTCCTGAGGTATGAAACGCTAACGAAACACTTTAGACTGAAAACTGTATGCAGGCTACCACTTTGCAAAGGAGAATGGGCGATGTGTGTTTGTGCTCAGCCCCTCCTAACTGAGAGCCGGTGGCTTGCCATTGTATCCTTCAGCGAGAAGTAGTAAATGATAACAGTTTAAATCTGAATTTTGAATTAAACTCCAAGGTAATAATTATTCAGTACCTGGTCTGATTTAAATGCAACAAAGGCTTTGAGAAAGAGTACAGTAAAGTAAATGCACATGGCAACCATTGCACTACCACAGGACCGCTGAGTGATGCAGTAAGGAGTGGCTTCTGCAGGAGCGGGCAGAAGAAAACCTTTTGAAAGGCCTGGCTTCTCCAGTTATAAACGAAAAGACATTAACCTGAGCCCCACAGAAACTCAGATACTAGGGAAAGATGTGCGTCCCAAACGAACTGACAGGCTGGCCCGGAAGAACAGCCCTATCCCTGAGTCTCCTCCCAATTCCGGCGCCGAGCCGTGCTGTGACTATAATACCATCGTCAGTCCTAAAAGTACTTTTTAGGATCTCTGTGTTTCCCAACAGCTCTTGCTTTAAAAAAAAAAAAAAAAGTATTCAACTAATAGGCATAGGGTAAGATGGGGACTCTTTTGCGCGCTGTGCGGTGAGAAGAAACAGAGTGGCCAGTCTGAGAGGTGGGGCAAGCCCAGGGCCTCAGCCTTTCTAAAATGAGTCATCAGAGCCGAAGGGGTTCCATCTACCGGAAAAAGCCCCTGAGGGCTCCGCCGTGGGACTGTGGCTCGGCCGGGTGGAGAAGGGGCGGCCTGTGTGGTGGACTTGCACACCTTTTCGGGCCCCAGTCCTGGGAAACGTAGTCAGCTCTTTGAGGCGGAGTTTGGCAACTTCTGCCCGAGCCTCTGGGGAGGGAAGGTGCGAGCGTCAGTTCCCAGTTTGCCGCTTTCCCCAGCGCTCCGTCTTCCAGCCTCTCCACCCCTCCCCGCCCGGCAGCCGGCTGGGAAGCCACCGGGAGGGCGCAGCATTCTCTCGCCTGCTCTGCGGTCGATGAGAGCTGAGCCACTGCTCGGCTCCCAGCCCGCGTGGGCGCGGCACCGCGTGGGTTAAGGTGGACGCCCGCCCGCGCCCCCGCCACACGCCCAGCGGCGCCTCACGCCCGCCCGCCCTCGCCGCGCGAAGGAATTGGCGGTCACCGGAGAAATCGGAGGTCAGCGACCGAGCTGCTGCCATGACAACCCCAGCGGTCTCGGCCCGTGCGAGTCGGGGCTGCTCCCGGGAGGAAGGCAACGCGGAGGCCCGGGGCTGCCGCTGATTGTGGCGTCGCGCGTCCCCGCGCGTCCCCGCTTCCCGCGCCGCGTCCCCGGAGGAGGCGGGGGTGCAGTCCGCCCAGCTCCCCTGCGCCCCGAGTCTGCGCCGGGCGGCCCTGGGCGGACTGGCAGCGCGGGCCCGGTGGCTGCCAGTAGCCGCCCGGGCTGCGGTGGCGAACATCCACCGTGCGGAGGATCCTATCGCCGAACTGGCCTCCTGCACCCGCGGTGGAACTTTTTACCGCCTCTGGGTTCCAGATTGGAGACTTGGGCTGTTTATAAATATATCCATACACATGTGTGAGCTAATAAAACGTGTTCTCCTCTCTGTGAGGCAGCAGCATTTTATGAAATCTCCTTTATGTCAGAGACACTTGCTTGGCTTCTTTGGGTTATAAACTTTTGGTGAGAGCCCTCTGCAGAACGTGCCCAACTGAATTCTAAAGTAGCATCTCGAAGAGAGAGAGAGAAAGAGCAATCTGTGACCTTCATCCTGCACCTTCCGTCTCTCTCCCTTCCCGCTGCCTCCCTCCTCCCCAGGGAGCGTCAAGAAAGCTCTTTTTTGGATGCAGGAGGGGCATCTGGTTCTGCCAGGCTGGAAAGCTGAGGCAAGATTTGAGGAAGAATCATTAGGCTCCGGAGAGCCTGGACTCGTTTCTGCTTCTGGCTTGCTCCATCCCTTCCTCTCCCCAAACCACTTCCTGAGACCCACCGGTGTGCGGGGCTGGGACGAGGACCGTGCTGCTGACGGCGTTCTGGGAAGTTGTGGCTGTCGAGGATGGGGGTCTGTGGGTACCTGTTCCTGCCCTGGAAGTGCCTCGTGGTCGTGTCTCTCAGGCTGCTGTTCCTTGTACCCACAGGAGTGCCCGTGCGCAGCGGAGATGCCACCTTCCCCAAAGCTATGGACAACGTGACGGTCCGGCAGGGGGAGAGCGCCACCCTCAGGTAGGGAACTGTACTTCAGCGGGGGTCTGAGCCCCTGGAATGTGATTATGTGGGTAAGAGCGAGCCAGAGAACAGAAAGCAGGGAGGTGGGGGTGGGGAAGGGCAAGTGAGAGGGCCGTTGCAGGCTCAAGAGGTACCCTCTTGCATTCTGTGGTAGCTGACACCCATTCTCCTGGACAGGTTTGCCATTTGCTCCAGCTTCTCTGGTCCAGGATCTTACAAGAGAACACTGAGGTCTGTGCTCTGGACTCCACTGTAGCCGAGTCTGTGACATGGCTACATCCACTCTTGCCCTGGCACCAGGGTGGGAGCAGGAGAGCCCTGGAGTGGAAACACCGGGAGTTAGTCTAAGACTGCTCGGTGCCTCGGTGGCTGTGTCACATGCCAGAAGGTATGTGATGAGGCAGAAAAGTGCTCAGGATGGGCTTAGAGATCCCAGGCCAAAATTCCAGGCCCTGAAATTGGAAGTGCTGGGCCATGGCCCTTTGTGAGCCTGCTCAAGACGCAGCCATCTATGTCAACCCTGCCTGGCGCTCCTGGGCCCCAGATTGTAAATTACGAGGGCAGGAGTATCTTTGCAGGTTTAGGCCAAGGAGAGGAAACATGTAGCTTTTATGCAAGGACATCACTCCTGTGCAAAAAGCACAATAGGAGCGCTTTTTGTTTTACCTTAATGAGTTACAGAGAATCACTTACATGTTCCGTGCAGAGGGGTGGAGAGTCTCAGAATATGAACCTTTGGGGACCAGACTTGCTGCAGCAGAGACTTTAATAAAAATGCAGCCACAACTTTCCACCAGCTCAGCAGATATCATCTTTTATCCCTTTAATGAGGCAGTTCTGGTCCTAGGAGACAGATTCGGAGATGTCCCAGCTTAACTCTGGCTCACAATGTACACAGGGTGAATGTGTTTGCCCTGTCTATGACTTTGACGGTTATAGTGAAAATAAAACATTCTGTCCCAGATTCTGCAGCCAAAAAGCCTGGCTTCTCCAAGGAATGGAGGAGGGTGGGATATTCTTCCTGTTCTCCCCCTGGTTGCCCTGTTAAACTCTCTCTACAGCTAGACAAGCTTCTTCCTGCAAAAGGGAAGAAAGGCATCTTGGGACACCAGCTATTTTTTCCTACACCCAAGGGCTAAGGTTGGATTATTGTCACTCGGGGTGGTTCTCAGCTAAATCTTCTTTTGAGCTGGGGAATAAGTCTCAGAACCTTGGCTGCTGGTGCTCAGGAGCCCCAGGTAGAGAAAGAGGAAAAAAAGGATAGAGCCAGACCTGCTTCCCTTGATAGCAGGAGAGAACCACTCCCGGTCACGTGCCATCCTTCAGCCTGTCTCAGAGTAGAGTGTAATGTGCCTATTTCATTGCCTCGGAGAAGTTTAGGAGTCCCCTCCCATGACATAACTTGCTGGATGTGCATTTGAAGTGCACGAGTTGGCTCAGATATGAGTCATGCTCAGGCTCAGAGTAGCACTGGTGCCCATTCACCAAGGAAATGCCAGTAAATGTTACCAAGTGTGAAGAGGTGTTGGTGCTGCCACACATCTCTCTTGATCTTTTAATCTTCTACTGGGGACAGAGAGGCTCAGCATTGATAAGGCCTCAGTGCTGAACGTCCCCAGATCCTCTGGCCTCTTGCTGCCCCTAAAAGTTAAACCAAAAATAAAAACTCGAGCTTTCTGCTTTCCAGGATGCAGTAAGACTGCTCCGCCAGCAGAGGGCCAACTTCTATTTATTTATTTATTTATTTATTTATTTATTTATTTTAGCTGCTGGCCTGTTTTCATGATCTTCAGTTCTAATGTTTACCAGCTGGGCTTGGTAATGAAAATGGGAGTGAAAAAAAGGGAAAGCTGAATAGTTGCTTTTTGTGCTTTGGTTAGAGGGGGAAAAAAAAGAACACACGTTTGAGTGTAACTTATTTTACCTGATTGTATGCTTAATTTTTTTAAAAGTAAGCACATGTCTTATGTTGATTTTGCATTTTCTTTTTGAATAGTTTTCTCTGAAATAGAGAAATTCAGCATACTGTTCATATTTTAATCTCTTTATATTCCTTATTTACCTCTTGGATTCTTCTCCTTTATTACCTTCTTCCTTAATTTTAAGTGCCTTTGGCAATAGCCAAAATAATGAAGAATAATAATTTGCTTTCTTCTTTTTTGCCTTCATCACTTAATTTTTATTATTCCCTGATATTTGAAGTTTCGATTTCACTACTGGCACATATTTCTTAAAACAACATAAATATCTCCTACAGACTTCTGAGGGTCTCAGCATTTCTCTCCCTTTCTTTTCCACCCTCCCCTGGGTTATTGGTGAACAGCTGTGTTCCCATCTCAAAGAAAACCTTACTTGTCAGAGTTAGAGTCCGTGCTTCCGGTTTCTGGAAGTCCATAGCTTCAACCCCCAAGTAAACATGCCATGTTTTTTAAAAATGTAATTCTTAAGTGTGGTCATTCTTTAGTCTCCTTAATGGATGTCCCACTGGGAAGTCAGTGTTTGGAAACGTAGTGTTCCACATGCATCAGATCTTCAGAATGTATAGAAGAAATGGAATGATTCCAGCGGCCATCGGCCACAGGCAGTCTTCTCAACTGTGACTGCTAGGGATCAAAGTAGTCTAAGCCTGTGTCTAAATCTTGAAGGAAGTCACATTGGAGACCAAAGATTGAGTAGGAAAAGCAAAGGAATGGGGAGAGTGGGGTCCTTCTTTGACTTTTCCAGTAAGAAATTGCCTGGCCTAGAGAAGGATTATTTCCTTCCTTGGAGGTACCAGTTGTTATGTGATGGGTTTTTGGCGGCATTGAAGGATGTGAGGAAGTGATGTGGCAAAGACGACTGAAGTTCAGAACGTGGATGAAACTCATTTTATGTAAGTGAGGCAATATTATCTTTCCCATCATTACTTCAAAGGGCTACTTGAAAAGTAAAAGTAATTATTTGAATATTGAGTTATTTTTCCTTTTTGGAAGAGAGAGGATATGGAAATGATGGTGGTATTCACTGTGTCTGAATTATAGCTTCTATGAATCTGATTTGAATTCATTATTACAAATGGGCCCTTTTGGCCGGAATGATTTCATTTCAATTATCTGCTGTTGGGTTAAAAATGTTCTGTGCCTTTCCAGTAGATTAGAGATGACAAGTCTGTAGAAGCCCCTTGTCTGAATTGGTGCCCATGGCAGGAAGGGGAGCCCCAGCTGCTCAGCGTGGTCAGCTCGGGTGGAAGGAGCCACTGCAGCGGCATGTTGATGGCCAGATGTGCCGCCTTCGCCAGCATCGGTCTCCTCTGAGTTGGCCGTAGTTTCCTGCCAGGATCAATCACATCATGAACATTTGAATGGGGGAGGTAGGAGTGAGGTGGGGGCTGTTGCTGTAACTGTTCCAATAAATGGGGAAAGTCCCCACAAGCATAGTTTTTTTTTTTTTAATTTTTATATGGCAGGATAATCAGTTTTGCTGATCCATGCTTACTGATCTGGGATTAGGCTTAATAACTCTTTTCTAAAATGTCCCTGAATTTTCGGTGGGAGTTCTGAGCTAATCCTTTTGAAACCGAACATTTGAGAGTTAGCTACTGCCGAGGAATAATCTAAACAGCAGGGTCTTGCCAATGCCGTTAGGCTCCTAAGAGAAACTTTCTGAGGCTTGCCTGGGTGTTTCTCTGCTTTTTGCACTCATCACCAGCAGCTTTTGTCTTCTTAGAAAATTCAGAGTAGTCAACAGGCCATTCAAAACAAGTGCATGCCTTTGCATGTTAGTGTCAAAGTTGTCGTAGTTGCATCGGGACATGGGGAAGTGCAAAGGCCTCTTGGTCTCTTGGTCTGGGAAGATGAAGACACAAAAACACTGAAGCAGGACAGGCCCATGGGGGCTCCTGGGTGGTGGTGCTGACCTGGCTGGCTGCACCCTGGCTGGCATTAGCTGGGATGCTTTTTAGAAACTTCACTGCCAGGTTTCCAGCCGGAGGAATCAAAATCCCTAGAGGCGGGAAGAGGGATAGGCATTTCATGAATCTCTTCCAATATTTTTAACGGGAAACCAGAGTTGAGACCCACTGCTCTAACACCTTTTCCCGCCCTGGGGCATCTGAACAAGGCTGGTCTCTCATGGTGTTCCCCCCTCATAAGAGTCTCCTCCGTCCATGCCTGCATGTGCCTCACCACCCACAGGCCGCCTGCCTGCGCACCGCGGAAAGAGCACTAGGCTCAGAGGCCTGAGTACCTGGTTTGATTCTTACTCTCTCACTCACTACATGATTTTGAGTGCTTCAGGTCAACTGCATACACACAGGAACAATATCTGCCCAGCCTATGACATCAAGAGCGATGAAGTATGTGACATTTTTTTCTGTGAACTGTGACGCGGCAGAGACATGCCTGTTGTCACAGGTGCTACACGGGACTTCTCAGTGGCATCCTGTGGTACTCTCAGTGCTGTCCGGTTTCATCTGCTCTACCTTCTGCTCCTGCCAGCAGAGCCCCTCACACCCACACCTTTGAAATGTGATGGTGTCTCATCCCAGTTCCACTGTGCATCCCGCCTTCCCTGAATTCCAAAGACACTTGCTGCCGGTCTCTGTTCTAACAGACACACACTGTGGACCTGCCTTTTGTGGGTGGTTAGGGTTAGAGGGTGAGCTCCTGGCGGTTCGGAGCCACATCTTGTGTCCTGAGTACAGACATTGTGGTGGGTGCTAAGGATTAAAATAATCTGTGTTGGTCTAATGCTTTAATCCATCTTAACCGGACTCCATCCCTTACAATGTATTACCTCTGCAGCAATGAAGTGCTTACATATGAAGGGTTTTATTCTCCTCAAAATATGATGCTGGGACATACAAGCACAGCATCTCCAAAAGACCTTGGGGGCCTGCGGGATGTTTGGATTCCGCTTAAATCATTTGCCAGAGGGGACAGTCGAATCCACCACTGGTTGCAATCTGATCTGAAACCATGCAAAAGGCTTCACTATCCCTGAAGGCGAGACACTGAACA